AAATTAATGTTGATGCAATGCTATTATTTGATCTATAGAATTTTATCACCTGTTCCATTGAAGTTCTTTTTCTGGCCCAGGACCCAATCTAGAATTTCACATTGCATTTCACTGTCAGCTCTCCTTGGTCTCTTTTAGCATGGCATAGTTCCTCAGTGTTTCTTTCATGAACTTGACAATAAAATGTCCCTCAATTTGGTCTGTTGGCTCTTTCCTTATAAGACTACGTTTAGATATCCATTTTGGTAAGAATACCATGGAAATGTACCCTTCTCAATGTAGCAAATGAGGAAGTATATGCTGTGTGGTGATGTCCCAAACGTTTCTCTACTGTAAAGTTATGCATTTCAAAGGAAAAGACAGTAGGACTTCCATCGTTGACTACCTCCCTACACTGACCACCTCAAGTTGACCAAGTTTTCATAGACCTGACATGTACAACATGTACATATCAGTACAGCAGGCCTAGTTCCTTATGTTGACCAGTTTGTTACAGTCCCTTGGGTGGTCAAATTACAGAGCTTCTACTGTTGTATCTTCCAGAGAGAGACTTTGAGATGATATAAATGTTCTTTTTCTCATCACACTGTCACTTGCTAATTTTAGCACCCACAATGATTCTTGACTAAAACAATAATTTTTCCTTTTTAAAAATTTTATTTCAGAATATTAGGGGGGACATGTTTTGTTAACATACTTTGTTTTTGTACAGATTGAGTCAAAGTTATAAGTGTGCTAACCAGTGTGCATTATACCCGATAGGTATGAATTTACCCATCTCCCCTCCCCCTTACCCCACCTCGATTTTCATTGAGATTTACTCCCATATGTGAACTTTAGCATTGACAAGTTCCAATTTGGTATTGAGTACAAGTGTTTGTACTCCATTCTTATGATGTTTCTCTTAGAAGAATGGTTTCTAGTTCCACCCATGTTATCACAAAAGATTGCCATTTTTTATGGCTAAGTAGTACTCCATGGTATGCATCTACTACATATATTAATCCATTCATGTATTGGTGGACACTTGGATTGTGAAACCATAATTAATTTTAAACTAGAATAACAATGAAGAGAAATACATGGTAGACCAACCGATAATTAGTATCTTATAAGTGAGAATGTCCCTGGGTCTTCTCTTTCTCAGGTGGCAGGTGAAAGTCATAAGCTGCTCTTTTATTTAAGTTACTGATGAGGTCTGGGCCACAAGGACCCTTGAGAGTGCTGTCTCTCCTAACTTTTGCTTGGTGGGTAATGTGACTTTGTGGCAACATTCTCTGCATGAACCCTCAACCCTACACCCCATGCAAATAGGTCTTCTTGGATTCCTCCATACCTATTTGCACAGGACCTGCTCATCTTGGCACATGTGGTGCCACTTAGGCTGTACCTGAAGGCTGGAGTGATGTTCCAGCTTTCCACTTTCTTCTCCATTTTTACAAATTGAATATTTCCCACAAGTCTCAGTTCAAAGCTGTTTTCATGAAATCTTTATGGGACAGAAGGGCTTACCTTTTCCTTTGACATTTCTTTGCATTTAAGAATAAAGTGTGTTGGCTCAGCACCTGTAGCTCAAGCAGCTAGGGCACCAGCCACATACACTGGAGCTGGTGGGTTCAAATCCAGCCTGGGCCCGCCAAATAACAATGACAACTACAACCAAAAAATAGCCAGGCGATGTGGCAGGAGCCTGTAATCCCAGCTACTGGGGAGGCTTAGGCAAGAGAATCACTTAAGCCCAGAAGTTGGAGGTTGCTGTGCGTTGTGACACCACAGCATGTGAGCTGTGACACCATGGCACTCTACCCACAGTGACAGCTTGAGACTCTGTCTCAAAATAAATAAATAAATAAAATAAAGCGTGGGCCTTAGCATTCATTCAGTACCTCCCGTGGCAGGGGAGAGTCAAAGATAATTCATATTCCTCAAAAAGTAATAAAAAGTACATAAAACAAAAAAAAACAACAAAGCCCATAGAAATCCAAAGAGATCACACTCAGAACAGGTGGTGTTTAAAATGGACAGTGAAAAACACAGATTTTGAGCTGTGTATAAAGGTAGGAGGCTTTCTAGACTAAGAGAAAAGCTGGTTATAGGCATAAAGTAGTCATGCTTACGGAGATGTGAAAGATGTATTTGAGGGCTAAAATGAGATGCATTCTAGAATAGTTAGGGAAAGGGATTGGAAGAGATAGCTTGAACTACTTTATAGAGGCCTTTACACTGTGCACAGTGATAACTTAGCCTGGAGTTTCAAGGCAATATTTGTGAAGATATAAGGTAGACTACATAAAGGTGTTATTGGAGGACTGGGCCTTAATCAGCAGAGGTCCCAGTAGATGATGAGCCTCCGAATTTACGCAGCAGTTGGAAAGGCAGGAACCACATTGCAAACAACCAGCCTACAAACATTTCTATACAATTCTGAAATCCCCAAAACTGAAAATGGAAATTTCTTAAATTTGCAGAAAATATATTTGGTAGGAAAAACCTAACTTAAACGGATGTGAAATTATTTGTCTTTCTTTATCTCACTTAGTGAATTAAAAGGATAATTCTGTGTTGTCTCACCTGTCCAGAGGTGGTGTCTGTTTCCCCTCTGTTTGAATCTGGCAGGCCCTGTCATTCACTGGCTTTGAATATGGCAGAAATGATACTGGGTAGCTTTCAGGGCTTGGCCTTCAGAGATCTGCTTCTGTGTCTCTCTTGGAAATTCCCCTCTGGTACCAGCTGCTATGCAGGAGTCCAACTACTCTGAGCCCACCATGCTGTGAGAATGCTCAAACTTCATGGAGAAAATGTAAACTTCTTAATTGGAATAGCACTGAAGTGCTCAAAAGTAAATGAAACTTTCTTGCACTTTCTAGCCACTTTTCAGCTGCTCGCTCACCAGCTGAGAGCCCTGAGTGAATGACTCTAATCAATACCTCATACAGAAGAACCTGCCAGCCAATCCCTGCCCGGATTCCTAGCTCACAAATTCTTGAGCAAGACAATGATTATTTTAAGCCACTAATGTCTGGGCCACATTTGTTACACTGCAATCGATAACCCATGCTACACTTATGTCATTCATATAACTGTATTTTCATTGCAAAAATAGTATATTTGATTAGAGTGCAACTCAAGACCTCACTGAGGGTGTTATGTAATATGTTATGTTATGTACAGGTATATTAAAAAAATCTGAATCCAGAAATCTACCTGAACTCAAGTGTTTCAAGAAAGGACTTTATACTATGAAAATAGTTGTCTAGATTTCCTTTCTGTCTCACACATTAACTAAATGTCATGTAGATGCCTTAGACTCCTCTGGTCATTTCATGCATGTATCTTTTATTCCACAACTTCATTGGCAGTTTCTCTAAACCAGCAGCTCTCAAAGTTCTGCGTGCATCAGTGTCTGCTGGAGTACAAGTTTAAACACAGCATTGAGCCCATCCTCAGAGTTTGATTTAGTGAGTCTGGGGTTAGGCTTGAGAACTTGCATTTCTGATGTGTTCCCAGCGCCAGTACCGGGACCACTTTGATGAGCTATTGCTCTTGGGGAAAGGGCTATGTCTAGAATTTTGGTTATTTATCCACCAGCGCAAGGTGCTTACCAAACGGACCTGGATGTACTTTCGCCACATCTCCATCCATGCCACACTTTTGAAGCCTTAACTTTTACTCCTGATGTCCTCGTGGCTAGGCCCTACACTTAGAAGAAACCAAGTTCCTCGTTTTATTAGATTGTATTTGCTTTCTGCTCAGCAGAGCTGATCAGACCCTGTGAATAAAACGTCCCCTCCGACCTTTTTTCAATCCATCTTGGAAGAGATGAGCAGGAATGCCTTCACTGTGAATGCAAGCTACCCTCGATTTGTGTCCTGTTCCCTTGGTGATTTCCAGATAAAACGTTTCTTGCCAACTTTTCACAAAATAGGAGAACCGCGCCTAACTTTATCTTCTGGTCAGAAATCCAGCTATCAAGGAGTGCGTTTTACAGACGGCACTACTGAGGCCCAGAAACGTAGAGCCATTTACTCACGATCATATCGTACCGCTGGTAAATCCTTGTTCCTGTGTGAGCCAGGTGTGACCTCACCCTGGTAACACCCCGCCTCCCTAAATGAGGTGCTCTCGCCCCTCCCCCGTCTCGTGAAAGCCCATTTGTCATAAACTTCGCACAAACCACACCGTTCACGTTCTTCTCCGTGAGAGACGGTCACCCCGATTCATCCTGACTAGGGACCACCAAACAAAACACCTGCCCTCGGCCTCCAGGCCGTCACCCCGGCTCCACAGGTTCCAGCCGCAGAGCCGCCGACAGCGCCTGGAAGCTTCTAGCTTTCAAAGCCCTGCGATTAAGTTGGTTCCTCAAATTGTTCCCTACAGGACCGGCAGGAAATAACGCCAGGCTTTGGTGACGGCGCGGCGGGAGGGGAAGAGGCTCTGGCCGGCTCCCAGGCGGTCTAGTGGCCTCTAGTCGATCTCGGGTCTAAGGTCCGGCCGGGTCGTACTTCCAGCCGCTCCTTCCACCCCCTGCTCCGGGCGTCACTCAGCGCCCCGGCGGCTGAATCCTGGAGCCGCGCAGTCCCCGGAGCCTGGGTTTCCTTAAGGGACCCCCCACCTCCGGTGCCCAAGGCCCCCGCCCAGGCCAGGTGGAAGAAACGGGTCAGCGGCGGCTGCCGGCCCGAGAGAGGCGGCGCCTGACCGCGGCAAGGCTGGGGACCCGGTGCGGCGGTGGCCAGGAGCATCCCCGCCCCTCCTTCCGCGCGGCCCGCCCCGAGACCCTCCCGGGAGCCTAGCGTCCGGCAGCAGGTGACGAGGCCGCAAGCCCGCGGCGCCTCCGCGGGGCGGTCCCCGGCC